AATGTAAAAAAAAATAGCAACTATATGTTATTTTTACTGATTTCTCCGTATCTTTCCTTGGATTTTTCATTGTCTTTCAATGCTTTTCGGTAGATTTTTCTGCGTTTCAGTGCCTTTTGGTAATTTACCATATATGCTGTCTAAACACTAAAAGGCGAAAAAGGCAGGGTGAAAAATTCCGAAAGGCCTCTTAATACACCAAAAATACACCGAAAGACACTAAGTAACACCGAAATCCATTCCAAAGGCATCAATAAAGAATACTGAATGCCACAATAAGGCTAAAAAAGCTCACCGAAATGCACGATAATGAGTAGAAAACTATTTACAGCCGATGCTTTCCTGCTCCGGGTTTAATCGCCGCAGTGCAAACGACAGTTAATAAATTCTAGTTATGTGTGTTCCTCTCCCCGCGTGTAGGGCCTACTTCACGTAGTCGCCTGCCATCATTATGACGCGGTTCCGGTCACATCGCGCTTACTCTCCCTAATAATCTGCGAGTAGCGGCAAATATTGGTATGCACGCGCGTGACAGCAGCTAGCTACTGCTTTTGACTGCAGCTCTACCGCGTGCAAACACACAGCGGTGTGAGGGAGGATTATGTTATAATACACGATAACATCTGCATGCTCACGTCAGCATCGATAAAATTAGACTGAAATTTGCATTCACATATATAAAGCGTATAAAGACTGATTGTTAGACACTTAACATGCATCTTCAATGATACCTCGATTGCCAGCTGACGTCACGCGTGTTCATATCAGGTAGCTGACAACTGATGATATGCGGAGTTCTATCGCGACGATAGATATCTCACTAGCTTGATGCAAACAGTTTGGCGTTATCTCCAGTCTATGTGATAACACACAATTTAGTGCTGCGCGCGCTCTCTCTCTCCCTCCCTCCCTCCTTCCCCCTCTCTCTCTATCTATCTATCGTTCTCTCTCCCTCTTTATCGCCAGAAAAGTTGGAAGCCTAACCTCACTGCCCCTTCCTTCTCTCTTTGTCTGCCAAAGCGCGCGGTTGGTATATTATATGAGTTATCGTATCTAGTTTTAGCTGCGTTTAGCTTGCCTCCTATTAAGTCTGTATGAAAAGAATAATAACAACTATGTGTTTTACTCCAGGGTTTCAATAGTTCTATCACAGTGAAACTTTGTTGTTAAATGTTGTTTAAGCATATGATCAGGAGCGTATAATGACAAATATTTGACAAATAATAACAAATAATAATAAATATAATGACAAATAATGACAAATAATGACAAATATTTGTCATTATACGCTCCTGATATGATAGAACGTAACCTAGCAAAAACCACACCACCTGTTTGTAGTTGTCGCGCGCGCGTGCGTGCGTGCGTGCGTGCGTGCGTGCGTGTGCACGTAT